GAGACTCTGTCTCAAAAAAAAAAACCAAACAACAACAACAAAAAACCACCTAACCAACTTCAGTTGGCACAATAATAAAGTTCCCACTACTTTAATCCTTACAAAAAAAATGTAGTGTGAAGTAACCTGATGTTAACTAATCAGTTACTTTTCTATGTGGGGTAGTCTATTGTGGTCTGTTGTTCTGTCTCCCTGTCCCTGCCTTACAAAGAAAAGGAACTCTGAAAAGACCAGTACACGATTTGTTCTTTGCTTCAACTTTTTTTTGAGACAGGCAGGGTCTTGCTCTGTTGCCCAGGCTGGAATGCAGGGGCACCATCATAGCTCACTGCAGCCTTCAACTTCTAGGATCAAGTGGTCCTCCCATCTCAGCCTCCTGAGTAATTGGGACTACAGATACACACCACTACACCTGGTTAATTTATTTAATTTTTATTTGGTAGAGACGGGTCTCTCTATGCTGCCTAGGCTGATCTCAAATTCCTGAGCTCAAGTGATCCTCTCACCTCAGGCTCCCAAAGTGCTGGGATTACAGGAGTGAGCCATTGTGCCTGGCCTGCCTCAGCCTTCTTCAGCCTTTGCCTGTCTCTAAAGCCAACTTCTGCTCAGCTCATAGGAACACTTATTCTATTTTCATGGAATGTAGTGTTGCTCTATTTTAGAATCATGATAAGGCCAATGGAAGGAAGGGAGGGAAGGAGGCTGAGGCAGGTATCAGCAGGATTTCCCCACAAAGACCCTGATGAAATCTATAGTCAATAATGCTTTAATAAATCCTACTGGGTATTCTGCATATATTTGTGTTTAATGTTCCTTTTTTTCTTCCTCTGTAAATCTCATTAAAATTTAAAAACACAGGGATTTCCCTTTCTGTCCTACTAAGTCTAGATTTAAGAATGGTGGTTAAATCTTACTCAAAAAATGCTTTACTACTGGGTCAACAGTATCAACTTCGATGAATTCTCCATTGAAAAGTCTTGTTCTTGCCTTGTTTAATATTTTAATTGGATGGAGACATCCATATCCAATTTACATAGCAGCTAATACAAATGACCCATTATTCCAAAATCCCCCAAAAGACTGGAATTAAGGCAGAAAATCAATTAAATGAATTTTAGCAGGAATCAAACAAATTCAGGCAGGAGAAAAAAAAAAAACAATTCCAAGTATGGAATAAAGTAGGCTTCTGTTGAGCGAAACGCCTGTGGGAGTACCCAATGAGGCTGAGGGGATTTACTCTGCAGAAGAGAAAATCAACAAGACCCAAAATAGCAACTTCTAAGGGCTGGTTATGTTTGGAGTGACTATAACTCCATATGACAAAACAGTAAACAGTGTTGTAGAAGTTTCTAGAAGACAGATGCTAGTCTGAAGGGGAAAAGGCTCTAATAACAAAGCCACTGAACACTGAAACAAGATGCTACGGGAAGGAGTGTGTCTCCATCCCTGAACGTGCTCAAGGTTGGCTAACTAACCAGCTATCATAAATACATTTAAAAAATCAATTATTTCATTACATGTTACAAATTTCTTCTTGTTGTTGTTTTGAGACAACATCTTGCTCTGTTGCCTCCTGGGTTCAAGCAATTCTCCTGCCTCAGCCTCCTGAGAAGCTGGGATTATAGGCGTGTGCCACCACGCCCAACTAATTTTTGTATTTTTATTAGAGACGAGGTTTCACCATGTTGACCAGGCTGGTCTCAACTCCTGACCTCAAGTGATCCACCCACCTTGGCCTGGGCATGGTGGCTCACATGCGTACTCCTAGCAAGTGGAGGCTGAGGCAGGTGGATCACCTGAGGTCAGGAGTTTGAGACCAGACCAGCCTGGCTAACATGGCAAAACCCCTATCTCTACTAAAAATACAAAAATTAGCCAGGTGTAGTGGCAGGCGCCTGTAGTCCTAGCCACTCAGAAGCTGAGGGAGAAGAATTGCTTGAACCCAAGAGGCGGAGACTGCAGCCAACTCAGATCCCGCTACTGCACTCCAGCCCGGGCGACAGAGCAAGACTCCATCTCAAAAAACCAAAAACAAACAAAAAACTGACCTAAAAGATGTTTAAGAATAGAATAGTATTCCAGATATAGTAGTGAGACATTCAAAGGTATATAGTCAGATGCTGTGGTGTGCGTTTGTAGACCCAGCTACTTGGGAGGCTGAAGTGGAAGGACTGCTCAAGCCCAGGAGTTCAAGGCCAGCCTGGCCAACAGAGCAAGACCCATCTCTTTAAAAAAAAGTACAAAAACAATGGAGAAAAATAAATCTCTCACCAGAATCTAACGTTTATTAATTCAATGGCTGGAAAAATACAAAGGAAAAATGAAGAGACTTATCTGTGAAAATAATATCAATTTGCAAACATAGTCAACTCACGCTTACTTATATGTGCATTTAGTAAATGTTCATGACCCAGTGTGCAAGCCTGAATATCATGAAACCGGTATTTTTTTTTGTTTTTTTTTTTTTGTTTTTTGGAGACTAGTCTCGCTCTGTCGCCCAGGCTGGAGCGCAGTGGCGCGATCTCAGCTCACTGCAATCTCCGCCTCCTGGGTTCATGCCATTCTCTTGCCTCAGCCTCCGGAGCAGCTGGGACTACAGGCACCCGCCATCACGCCCGGCTAATTTTTTATATTTTTAGTAGAGACAGGGTTTCACCGTGTTAGCTAGGATGGTCTCGATCTCCTGACCTCGTGATCCGCCCGCCTTGGCCTCCCAAAGCGCTGGGATTACAGGCGTGAGCCACCGCGCCTGGCCTGCAATGAAACCGATATTTTAACACATGTGTTCAAACACTGCCTGAATGAGCCAGTCCACCTTTTTCAGTAGTGGTGGTAAAAACAGATTGCATACTGCTGATGGCGGAATGTTCCTTACAATGAATGTTAGCTGCTAGGGCATGCTCCACGGCTTTAAATCACTAAGAGAGCTGTTCCTGAAGCAAGTGTAATACAACTAGGAATGGTGCTGAGAAGGAAAAAGTCTGCAAGGATGACTATTCCAAAGAGGGCTGACAAAGTTGCCTGGTACACTCTACATTGTTGCAAAATTGGTGGGGGAGAAAAATGGAGGCAGGTGCTGGCGGTAAGATACTTCCTGAAAAAGAACTGGAAACAAATGTATATAAAATGCTTCTAATTTACTTTATAAGCATATGAAGTTATATACACAATTTTAAACAATGCCCTATAAACTGAAAATACTATACTTATCAAGTTATTTAACTTGGGATACACCTGGCTTTAGAGTAAGTCTTCTATGAATGGTTCATACTTGAATGATACTAAAAACAAATCTTAAAGTTTTAATTATTATTATAAGCCAAAATTAATTCAGATACAAATAGGCATAATCACACTAGTGGGCTAACCAGACAAACTACCATGCACTAAACTGATAATGATGTGACAAATAATAAGAGCAGCAATGCAAAATCATGACCAAAAAAAGAAAATAAAAAATGAATAAAGGAAGCAAGCAAACAAGAAGGAAAACCCACAGCCAACTCGATACAACACCATAGTAAAAATTTTTCCTGGAAAACTGTTAGGATTACAATTATATCCAGGTACACATGAATAGTGGAAGGTACGTAACATCATCGAATACTCGATTAGAGCCCTCAGTGAACATCCTTGTATGTTAATTTTAGTTCTGAATATCAAATTGTAGTAACCCCTAGTGTATTTATTAGTACCAAATCCTTAGATAGCTGAAGATATGAAAGTTTAAGGAAATAGATAAAATTCACTCTTCAGGACAAAGGACTGGAATTTTTAGATGTTTCATGTCCACCTTGAGAAGCCTTAAGGCCCATTATGGGTTGCAGATCACAAAGAACCACTTGTTGAAATAACATTTTTAGTGCAGAGAAAGTCTATCTCCCTACCCACCTCCCACACACATAACAGGGACAGGGCTTCAAAATTACCAGGATATAAATAACCATGAGGAATACAGTAGAAATGTATATAGAGCACTGCACTTATCAAAATATCGCACAATGTACAGTGCTATGCAGTTTACAAAGCCCTTTTATATGCATTATTTTATTAATACTCACATCCATCATAAGATGAAATTATCTCCCTTTAAAGATGAGAAACCCAAGGTCCAGAAAAGTTAAGTGCCTTGTTCAAGGTCAGACATTTGGCTAAGTGGCAGAGCCAGGACTTAAATTCAGTACTTCCTGTTCCCAGTTCATGGTCTCTGTACCCCTCAACTACTATAGGTCAAATCTAGAAATCAAATGATGTATGTAAAAAGACTTTGCAAAGTTAAAAACAACTAGAAAAATTTTATTATGAAGATCATTAATTATTTGCTGATGTCCTACTAGTGAGTGAAATACCTATGTCTGGGCCCAACCTAATTGCTTAGGCATTATTATGTAAGTGTTAGGACTTCCAAAAATCTGCCCAGGTGATTCTAAAAGGCACTAGGGCAAAGACCTGATCTATGTTAAATGATACCAATGGCAATACTGCTTTATGAACATGCTTTTCTACTTTCAGTTTTACTTTAACACTTCCCTTTTATATTAATCATCACTCCTTAATCAGATGTGGTGTGTCAAGGGTTTAAGGAAGCCAAAGTGTTCACTTTAAAATTTTCAGTATTAGCTATAAGAAAGGTACAAATTTGCACAATATCAATTACATGAAAATATTTTTGTACTGTATTATTTTTTAAAAACTGTAGTCAATATTAAGAGTATTCAATAAAAAGTATAGCCTTGCACAACTATATCAATTAAAAAGTACAAAAAAAAGCACAGCCTTTAGTTTGTGCTGTTAAGAACATTTAAAAATAATCTCCAACCGAAAATAACCCAACAATTTTTTATGAAATACTAGATTAACTTGCATTCATTTGAGGAATAGGAAGCTTTATGGCATTAAACGTAAAATAAAAACAACAGTTGAGGTATTTAAGGGACAAATTAGATGGCAATTAGCACTGACAATCGTTTAAAAAGTACTGGATATTGAACCAATCTTACCTTTTGTAGACTTGTTGGATTCAACTGAGTTTTGTCAATTATTTTTATTGCAACCTAGAAAGAATAAAAAATATTTATGGATTTTAAGAATGTAGTAATTATGGACTGATAAATGCCAAGATATATGGCATTAAGAAGCAAGCAAGCAAGCAGCAAACCTCAAAACCTAAAACTCAGCTGGTTACAAAAAGCAATTTAACTTTGTAATTGTAACTTTATAAAATTGTGTAACTGAAAATAAGGGCTTCCATACCAATGCTTTCTCACTAAACTTCTCTCTACCCTAAATACAAGAGACCCTAATAGGCAGGAATATTATCACCCATATTTGGCTTGAAGTTACAGATAATTGACCTTTGTCCGTCTACAATTCTTTTTTTTTTTT